GGTCTCTCTACTACCTGGTGTATCGTTCGTCTTTGATGGTTTCGTGTACACACTTAATTAAAAACGGATCGCTGTTATTTTTTTGGTTTCTATCAGGAGCACTTAATATTTATTCTAGCTCATGAGGACTTAGGGGAAATATGAAAGTTAAAATGGAAAATTGTTTCCAAAACCACAGCAGGACTGCTGATATTACCTTGTCTTTTCAGCCCGATCCCCGTCGTTTTGCAGAAATACACTCAGTGAGTGCAATATATGAAGAAATAAACATATCATTATGTTTTAACAATCAGATGTCACATGTCTGCAGTGCAAATCCGCTTATATGCCAGATTAGAGCAGGAAGGTGATAAAATTACAGTAATCTACCCCATGATTTCAGACCTGATTAGTCTAGGGGAAAAAAAACGGATTAAGCAGCAAGCATGAAAAACGAAGTCCGACTTCCGAGAGTGGTAATTATTCACCGTGGAGACACTCGCGGTGTTCCTGGTGTACTCAGCGGCAGCATGTGGCCTGCTGGCTACGTAATAACCTTTTCACAAGCCAGAGAGAGTACCAGTCACTTCAAAATTCCTCCATCGCACCAAGAGTAAGCAAAAGAAATGGGGAGGACTATCGCCGATCTCTTAAGTAATCTCTGTGAGGCAGATTGTTAGACAGCTAAAGTGTCCATTAAGAGCTCATTATTGCCCTCTAAAGCATGTAATGGCCGTGGGTTTACAAATGGGTGCTGAGCACATGTGAGGACGCTATGTGAGAGAACATAGCGCTTCACTTCCTTGCTTTCAATGACTCGTCAAGCAATCCGTTGCATGGATGGTTATTATACAGCTGAACTCTGCACTAAGTGCAGCACACAATGACTTTAATGCCGTGGGTTTCTGCACCAGCAAGAACCTCAGAAAGACATTACAGAGGGGAGGAGCACTCATGGGGGTGATGTCGTGATTTCCTGTGTGGTCCTGAGGAGATGGATCTGTCCCTACGGGCACAACTGGCTGAGCCTTGGCTTCTGGGAGGCTGACGGACCAGCTACGAGCCTGAGTTAGTAAGCAGAAGTTCTAACTAAATGGGCGAAGGTCAAAAGCCGTGAGACAGCTGAGAGTGGCTGAAATACCAGAGGGGCTGAGGAAAGTCTTAGCTGGAGCAAGAAGTGTAACAGATTAATTATATCTGATTGGCCCTTGTCATCATGTGATGCACATACGTGAACGTGAACTTTCCTAACGCTGCCTGGCGTTACTGTTGTTCTCCTAACTCAATTCAGTAAGAGACATCCAAATATACAAGAAATAAAGAGGAAAATTAGATATGGCTAAGATGTTCATTCTGAAGAAGGTCTTCAGGATATAGCACTTTGTCCTCCAAGTGGTCAGTTAGAGCCCAAAACCCCACTACCTCCTGTGGGCGTGGCTCTCATCATATCACACTGCACAATGCTGTGTTGTCCTGTGGGCGTGGCTCTCATCATATCACACTGCAGATGGCTGCCTTGTCCTGTGGCCGTGGCTCTCATCATATCACACTGCACAATGCTGTGTTGTCCTGTGGGCGTGGCTCTCATCATATCACACTGCAGATGGCTGCCTTGTCCTGTGGCCGTGGCTCTCATCATATCACACTGCACAATGCTGTGTTGTCCTGTGGGCGTGGCTCTCATCATATCACACTGCAGATGGCTGCCTTGTCCTGTGGCCGTGGCTCTCATCATATCACACTGC